TATCTGAAGCAAATTTTAATACCTGCACAGGTTGCTAAGGAATACTCTGAGCAGTTGGGAGTTGATCAGTGCATGAAGCTCTTTGAACAGTTCAAGTCATATGAAGGGTTGTATTTCTTCCTTGGTTCGTTTTTGAGCTCAAGGTAATCTGTTCAAGAAAATAAATTTTCTTTGTTTTCTTTTGTGTTTTGGATGTCACCTCCAGTTTATTCTTGATTTTTATATTACTTTTAAATGTGATACAGTGAGGATCCTGATATCCACTTCAAGTACATTGAGGCAGCTGCTAAAACTGGACAAATCAAAGAGGTGGAGCGAGTTACTAGAGAATCGAACTTCTATGATGCTGAGAAGACGAAGAACTTCTTAATGGAAGCGAAGCTCCCCGATGCACGTCCATTGATTAATGTTTGTGATCGTTTTGGATTTGTTCCAGATCTCACCCACTACTTGTACACGAACAATATGCTTCGTTACATTGAAGGTTACGTTCAGAAGGTACTATTTGAGCCTTCTTTTGACAATTTGAAATGTCCTTTGGGTTCCTTACTGATGATTTTTTTTGGCTCGTTGCGTAGGTGAACCCTGGGAATGCTCCATTAGTTGTGGGACAGTTGCTAGATGATGAGTGCCCTGAAGATTTTATCAAAGGTTTAATTCTTTCTGTCCGTTCATTGCTTCCAGTGGAGCCCCTTGTGGAGGAATGTGAGAAGAGGTACATGTTCAGAATGCCACACCCAATCCTCATTTTTAGTTTGCCATCATTTTTTGTCTATATCACTTAATTTTCTTCTTCTTTCCATCTCTTTAGGAATCGCCTTCGTTTACTCACACAGTTCTTGGAGCATCTTGTGAGTGAGGGAAGCCAAGATGTACATGTTCACAATGCTTTGGGTAAAATCATCATTGATAGCGGCAATAATCCAGAACACTTCCTTACGACAAACCCATATTATGATTCGCGTGTTGTTGGTAAATATTGTGAGAAACGTGATCCTACCCTGGCTGTAGTTGCTTACCGCCGTGGACAATGTGACGATGAACTCATTAATGTCACAAATAAGAACTCCTTGTTCAAATTGCAAGCAAGGTTGGTGATCAGTATTTTATTGTTTTTTTTTTGTATTTTTTTTAAATATTTCATCTTATTTGACTACGTGTAGGTTTACTGACTAATTTGTTGGTATTAGGTATGTGGTTGAGAGGATGGATGAAGATCTTTGGGGAAAAGTTCTTGACCCTGAGAATGAGTACAGAAGACAGCTTATTGATCAAGTTGTTTCTACTGCCTTGCCCGAAAGCAAGAGCCCGGAACAAGTTTCTGCGGCTGTTAAGGCTTTCATGACTGCTGATTTGCCTCATGAGTTAATTGAGCTTCTTGAAAAGATTGTGCTTCAAAACTCTGCCTTCAGTGGGAACTTTAATCTGCAAAACCTGCTAATCTTGACCGCCATCAAGGCAGATCCATCGAGAGTAATGGATTATATTAATAGGCTTGATAATTTTGATGGACCTGCAGTTGGGGAAGTAGCTGTGGAAGCCCAACTGTTTGAGGAAGCGTTTGCAATCTTCAAGAAGTTTAACTTGAATGTCCAAGCTGTTAATGTCTTGCTGGATAACATCCGAAGCATTGATAGGGCTGTTGAGTTTGCGTTCCGTGTGGAAGAAGATGCTGTTTGGAGCCAGGTTGCAAAGGCTCAGCTCCGGGAGGGTCTGGTGAGCGATGCTATTGAGTCATTTATCCGTGCAGATGATGCCACCCAATTCTTGGATGTTATTCGCGCTTCTGAGGATGCAGATGTGTACCACGACTTGGTGAGGTATCTTCTGATGGTTAGGCAAAAGGTGAGAGAGCCCAAGGTGGACAGTGAGCTCATTTATGCATATGCAAAGATTGATAGGCTTGCTGACATTGAAGAATTTATTCTTATGCCCAATGTCGCTAATCTCCAAAATGTTGGTGATCGCCTATATGACGAGGCTCTCTATGAGGCTGCAAAGATAATATATGCCTTCATATCCAACTGGGCAAAGTTGGCTGTCACACTTGTGAAGCTTAAACAATTTCAAGGTGCTGTTGATGCAGCACGAAAAGCCAACAGTTCAAAGACATGGAAGGAGGTTTGCTTTGCTTGTGTTGATGCTGAGGAGTTCCGCTTAGCTCAGATTTGTGGTCTCAACATTATTATACAGGTGATTTTTTGCATCTGGATATGTCTCGTATACTTCTAAGGTGCACTTTTACTCTAGATTTGGGCATATTTATACAATTTTCACTAATTGTTTGTCTTGATTTGAATTTTATAGGTGGATGATTTGGAAGAGGTCAGTGAATACTACCAGAATAGAGGATGCTTCAACGAGCTAATATCTCTAATGGAGAGTGGTCTGGGGTTAGAACGTGCTCACATGGGAATCTTTACCGAGTTGGGAGTTCTATATGCTAGATATCGCCCAGAGAAACTTATGGAGCACATTAAATTGTTCGCGAATAGGCTAAATATTCCAAAGCTTATAAGAGCATGTGATGAGCAGCAACATTGGAAGGAGCTGACCTATCTGTATATTCAATATGATGAGTTTGATAATGCTGCAACCACCATCATGAATCATTCCCCTGAAGCCTGGGATCACATGCAGTTCAAAGACGTGGCAGTTAAAGTTGCTAACGTGGAGCTATATTATAAGGCTGTGCACTTCTACTTGCAAGAGCATCCGGACCTCATAATGATATTCTAAATGTGCTTGCACTTCGTGTAGATCATACACGTGTTGTTGACATAATGCGGAAGGTAATTGATTGTGCATGTTTTCATTACGCGCATCATAGATTCCTAGCGCTTCTCATCCAACAAAAAAAAGCACTAGAAGTTTATATTATGAAAATCATTTTTATGGCTCTTATATTGAGATTCTTTTGTGCTTGCAAATTGTAGGCTGGTCATTTGCTTCTTGTGAAGCCATACATGGTTGCAGTTCAGAGCAACAATGTCTCTGCTGTGAATGAGGCTTTGAACGAGATATATGTTGAGGAGGAAGACTATGAAAGATTGCGTGAATCCATTGATTTGCATGATAGCTTTGACCAAATAGGCCTCGCTCAAAAGGTAAAATGCACTCTATTTCTTGTCTGTTCTCTGTGTTGTTAATGTGCAGGAGCCTTATGTTGTTTGTTTGGTCAGATTGAGAAACACGAGCTTCTGGAAATGAGACGTGTTGCTGCATATATCTACAAGAAAGCTGGAAGGTGGAAGCAGTCCATTGCATTGTCAAAGAAAGACAAACTTTACAAAGATGCCATGGAGACAGCCTCACAATCTGGTGACCGTGAACTGGCAGAGGAGTTGCTTGTTTACTTCATTGAACAGGTACAAAACTCTTCATAAGGACTCCATTTTCCCCAGTGCATTCTCTTTACTGTTGTCCCTGGCCTGCTAACATTTTTGGCAATTCATGAATTTCTTCTTTAAATTGCAGGGAAAGAAAGAATGCTTTGCATCGTGCCTCTTTGTCTGTTACGATTTGATAAGGCCGGACATTGCCCTTGAACTTGCATGGATGAACAACATGATCGACTTTGCTTTCCCATATCTGTTACAGGTAATTTTTTTTGTCTTGTTTCCAACTGTTTCTTGCGTGTAAAGGGTTATTGACGCCTCTCATCGAGTCTTGCTTGCATTGTTCAGAACCTTATGTAATTCTTTGTTTTACAGTTTATCCGGGAATACACTGGCAAGGTTGATGACCTGGTTAAGGACAAAATTGAAGCTCAAAAGGAGGTCAAGGCTAAAGAACAGGAAGATAAAGAAGTTATTGCGCAGCAGGTAATCACTTTGAGATATTCTATTTCCTTACAATGAAAGCAGGTTCTACGAATTTGCATTCGTTCTGTTCACATAGCACGTCAACCTCCGTGTTCTCAACTTATCTTTTGTTCTTTGCTTAAATGTCACTATGCATTATGATTAATTGGGTTGACATACTTTGCAGAACATGTATGCTCAGTTGCTGCCTCTTGCTTTGCCTGCGCCACCAATGCCTGGCATGGGAGGCGGTATGGGAGGAGGATATGCTCCACCACCACCTATGGGAGGAATGCCACCGATGGGCATGCCGCCTTTTGGCATGCCACCAATGGGCAGTAGCTACTGAGGCGTGTTGAACTATTCTTGATGAGTTCGACATTTGAATTTGGTATTTTAGTCGGTAGGGCAACCTATTTGATAGAACCTGCCATTTAGTGTAATTTTGTGTGGATATGTTGTGTTGTAATATTCTTTTGTAGCAGAGGCAATTTTTGTTTGGCTGGTGGTTGAGGGCGAGCCTAGAATTTTCTCTGTATTTTTTTGTTCTCGTTTTTTCGAACCTGCCGGAGTCCGAGTATAATACAAAACACTACACTGATCATTTTGGTTATGTTCCAATTTTTCTTGGTGTATATTTGTTCAAACGATTTGTTTTCCAGTAAAAGTGCAGTTTGTATGAACCATTTCTGAACCAGTCTGTTTATGATGGACCAAAATATCAACTGCGGTGCCGGAATTAGGAATAATCCTGGCAATTCATTTTGTTTGGGTGCCTTTTATGTACAAGTGTGTTTACGGGTTTTATTGTGGGGTCTAAAAGTTGGAATTTACAAGCTTGTTTGGTTACCATTTTGTTTTTATTTTTTGTGGAGATACGAGGAATGTGTATGAGAGATGATGAAACTCCTCATAATCTCTTCGAGTTCAGAAAAAATGGATAATCATGGTTTATTATTAGTTGTTCCATTTTTTATTTTAAAAAAAAAAATGAACGTTATAGCTCAAATTTGTGTTTTAACATTTTCAGTCCCAAAAGCAATGCCAGAGTGACGTCACACATAGTATTTGTTAAGTTTTTATCCTTTCAGTTTAGTCCTCTCGGCCTCCGATTCTCGGAAGTTCATCGACCTGCTACTCTCCCACCAAAACAAATTCCACCAATTTCCCACATCCATTTCTCTTGTATTATCCAATTTCCAATTCCCAACAACATCGATCAATCAACGCAAATGGTGTACCAACTCGTTATTTGGGGTCTGATCACTGCTCTCTTGGCCCTGATCCTGAGAATCTCCCTCCAAATATCCGCCGCCAGAAGCAACAGAAAACGCGCCGTCGCCTTCTTCCACCCCTACACCAACGACGGCGGCGGCGGAGAAAGAGTACTCTGGTGCGCCGTTAAAGCCATCCAGGACGAAAACCCCTCCCTCGACTGCCTCATCTACACCGGCGACCACGACGCCTCTCCTCACTCCTTGACCGCCCGTGCCGTCGACCGCTTCGGCGTCAAACTCGTTCACCAACCCAAGGTTGTCTTTCTCTCTCGCTCTCTATCTCTGAATTCATTTTTTTTTCATTAATTATCGATTGGGATTTGAAGGTGGTGCATTTGAGTAAGAGGAAATGGGTCGAGGAGGCCACCTACCCCCGGCTGACCATGATCGGGCAGAGCCTCGGCTCTGTCTACCTCTCATGGGAGGCGTTGACGAAGTTCACTCCTACTTTTTACTTCGACACCGCTGGCTATGCCTTCACGTACCCAATTGCCCGGCTGTTTGGTTGCAGGGTTATCTGCTACACCCATTACCCCACAATCAGCTGCGACATGCTTTCCCGGGTCAGCCGGCGGAGCTCCATGTACAACAATGACGAATTCATTGCTCGGAGGTAGGTCTGTTTGTCAATTTTCCCATTTCACATTTTGCTGATTGTGGCTGATGAAACCCAGTGAAAGGAACATGGATGGATGTTTGGTTAAACCGAAAAGGTGATCACTTTTTGCATTTAGTTGCGTTGACAAAAAAAGATCGTCACTTGAATTTGAATTGTTGTTGTAGCAATTGGCTGTCCAGCTGCAAAGTCGTATACTACAATATATTTAGCCGGATGTATGGGATTGTAGGCTCTTGTGCTCATCTTGTTATGGTTAATTCGTCCTGGACTCAGTCCCATATCGAAAAGCTCTGGAACATTCCCACACGGACTAAGCGGGTCTACCCTCCTTGTGATACTTCTGGACTACAGGTTTGTTACCAGTAATATCTTAACATATCACTTCGAAATGTGGTTATCAACGATTTGATTAGTCGTTGTGTGAGATGAGCTGCAAATGTGCAATTGTCTCTCTGTGTGGTTGTTAACAAGTTGCTGTCTGTGTAGGCGCTTCCGTTGGAAAGGCCAGCTGAACCGGCAAAAATTATATCTGTTGCTCAGTTTCGGCCAGAGAAGGTGGGAATATAAACCTTATGAGCACAAGGTACTAAGATTTTTGCGGCTCATTTATGGGGCCTTAATTTGTTGTGGCTATTGCAAGTCCTTTATAATTTGGTTGTTCCGTTATCAGGCACATGGTCTCCAACTTGAGGCCTTTGCAGTTGCCATAGGAAAATTAGATGCACACTTGCCCAGACCGAAGCTTCAGTTTGTGGGTAGCTGTCGGAATAAGGCAGATGAGGAAAGATTGCAACATTTGAAAGATAAAGCAATTGAACTGAAGGTTGACGGCGACGTGGAATTTCATAAAAATGTATTATACAGGTCTGTGCCAAGGATTTTTCATGTTCTGCATCCTTTAATGTAAATGTCTAGAACTCTAGATAACTTGTTCTTCTTGCTCTCGATCTCTCTGTTAAACGTAAACCATACATGATCTGTTCACAAGTTTCTTATCTTTGGTTGGCTTGCATTGTTAATTGCTTCCCGTCTGAGGATTGGATCATACAAGTAGTGATGCTAATATATACAGCATGAATGACTCAGATAATTAGCATTTTTTTTTGCGTGTCTGCCTAGGTGAATTCGAATAAGCTACATAGTATGTAGCTGAATAAGACATACAAACTGTGGTGTGAACATCTTCTCAAAACCATATTAGCTGCTGTTTTCGTAAACATATTTTCCTCAACGATTGTCGGCACTCTTTTGTCTTGTAATAATATACCCTGTTTGGATTTGTTTTTGCTTTCTTAGCCTTGGTTATTTTTCACATCTACAGGGACTTGGTGCAACTTCTGGGAGGGGCCATCGCAGGAATCCATTCAATGACGGATGAACACTTTGGAATAAGTGTTGTGGAGTATATGGCTGCAGGAGCCATCCCAATTGGTGAGCATCTCAAAAGTTATCCGTCATTTAACCAACAAACTTTCTACCTTACCCTATTCACTTTTTTCCTGCTCTGATATTCCTCATGTTTTCCGTTCTTGCTTCAGCACATAACTCTGCCGGCCCGAAAATGGACATTGTTTTAGCAGAAGATGGATTGCAAACAGGATTTCTTGCCCGCACTGTGGACGAATATGCAGATGCCATCCTCAACGTCATAAAGATGCCAGAAAGCGAGAGGCTGAAGATGGCTTCAGCTGCGAGGAAGCGGGCTGGCAGATATTCGGAGCAAAGATTCTACGAAGATTTCAAAGCTGCAATCTCCCCAGTGCTCACCCATTCTTCTAGTTAATGGACTAAACATCAATCACAGGATACTCGTAACTTAACAGAGAAGAGCCCTTTGCATCGGACTTTAGTTGTACTGCATTTTTCGTTGCCCCGAGCCTTACCGGTAACTGAAAAAGTCCGATTAAGCCACTGTAACTCTAACCGTTTGATGGTGTCTTCTTTCAAATCATATACCGGTATTCAACATCCACATTTACCCTTTCCGTAACGCCCTTCATTTTCGGGTTCTTTGTTGAGAATGAGTTTAGTTGCTTCAAGTTCGGATTGGATATTTTGAATGAGGATCCTCTCCAGGTCCTCTTCATGATAATTCTTAAATCGTGTCCGTTCATTGTACATCGTGCAGTCAAAAATCATTTTAAATATTTTTATTTAAAATTAAATACAAATTGTATTTGATGAAAATTGATTGCACGATATACGATGAACGGTCACGATTTGAGGATTCTCAAGATCCTCATTATCGGTCACGACTTGAGGATTCCAGGATCCTCCTGGGGATATTTTTACATAATACCGATCATGGTAGATTGGATAAAATTGAAAGATACAAAATCTAACCGAAACTTGTTATGGTATAATTCAATAAACGACATGCCGTTGGGATGTAGAAAACCAAAAGTAAGAAAGACGTGCCAGGCACGCGCTCGGACATGCTGTGGTGGCATCAAATTCTCATCCCCTTTCCTTTGGATTACAGACCATCCACTCCATTGCTTGCACCACAACGCAGACGATACACAGTAAACTCTTTGCTCTCTCTCTCTCTCTCTCTCTCTCTCTATAAATGGTTGGGCCGTAGACGACCATAAAAATGGCTGTTTCATTCAACTCGGTGCTGGGCTTCAACTCCACGGTAACTTCTATGCTCCCTCACCTGCACCATATTTTGAACAATTTGTTTCTATGTTTTTCTTCTTGTATTGAAATATATTGAAATGGGTATGCACTTTACTTTTGAGGTTGGCTTGGAGCAATCGGTCTCTGGGTTGCTTGCTTATTTCATATTAAAGGAGATATTAGATGGCACTGTGATGGTATTCCAAGCCAACCGCGCATTGTGAGTGGATAAGTTCATGGCTTACAGTGCGTGATTAGTTTGGAATACCGCACAATAGTTTATTTCAAGGCCATCTTTTGGGTGATTATCACTTCTAATAATTTCTTGAGTAAATTGTAACAATGATTCCTTAATTTTAACTCAATTGGAACAATGACACTTCAAAACTCGACCTTTTTCATGAATGGAGAAGTAGCTTCACTCGTATACTTGTTCTCTCGATAGGTTCATCCTAATTTTTACATGATTGTTACAGTGCATCGTGCCTTTAAGTTGGACAAACTGTGTTCTATCTAGCTGAATAGTTTCATGCTCTCGTTACTTGTTAACTGGTTCAAGGGGCTGTTTCTAACGATGATACAGATGTTTGTTCAACAGACGATGCTGCCTTTAATTATATGTAATGAAAGACTAAAATCTCTGTTTACAGTTCAATCATTTATGTTATTTGTGATGTAAATGGCTCGGCAACTGGATGATTCACTCGATAATTTACGAAAGTTTATTTGTTCTCCGTTCGAAGTTACAGGCCAAGTACCAGAATGTGTCGAAAGGTTCTGTTGGAGCTTCTATACCAGCGGCCACCACCCAATTCACATCCTTCTTTGGAACATTTGGACAAAGGAGGCGTATAAGTGAAAAACGATGGGGCTTATGTCTTTCAGTTGCGGATGGCAATCAGCTCACCACAGACCCCGGTGACAAGGCTTCCGAAACTACTCCAAGTTCTCCCGATGGTCGATTACCAGCTGTTGATTCAACGTCTTCGGCTCAGTTCCGAACGAGTGTCCTTGATCAGTCCGGGCCTCCAAGCTCTGAGCCTCCCAATGGCTTGTTGGATTCCTCAAATCCAAAGGAGGCATCTCAGTCACCTGACGTGCAACCCAAGTCAAAAAGATCGCCCCTAACAGCAAGGGAGAGACTGAGGGCAGCCAAGGTTCTCAGTCGTTACACGGACTCAAAGCCGTCTAAGAAATCAGCTAGGGGCAAGAATGTATTGGATGCTCTCAGAGACAGCGAACGCGGAAAGAAAAGATCCGGACTTCCAGAGGCCCCTACAAACATTTTTGACGACAGCAAGCGAGGGATGCCAAAGCAGGGCCTCACTTGGGAATTTCCGGGGGGTAATGATTTGTTTCTAATTCTCTTTTCGTTTGTATTTATCAGCACGGTGATGTTCGCTACAACGTACGTAGTTTGGAAACTTGGTGCCATACATTTCAATGAAAATTGAGACGGACTGCGGTTGGCATCCCCGAGTTTTGCACCAGCCACCTTGATGCTTCTGTGTACCAAAGTTCTCATCTTCCACAGGACTAGGGTTTGAAAACCATTGTAGGCAAGATATACATGTCAACGTACAAAGATTTGCAGGGTCAATATTTGTATCACTATTATTCAACATTTACTGCAACTACACTGTTGTAGCTTCATTGGAAAGAAACATATGGTAAAGGCTATTCAATTCCTTGAACTTCTTCCCCTGTTTCCTTACCTCAACTACTTGAAAATGAACAAGAATAGCATTTCACTTTGTATTTCTGTTGAGGTTAACATTGACTTTAGGGCTCATTTTATTTTGGATTTGTGCGCTAGATTTGATTTGTTGACATACCTGGTTTCGGGGAGAATTTGTCGGTAACCGATTGTATATCCTCTCATTCTCTCTCTCATCAAGTTCATTTTAGTTGAATTTGTGTGCTAGTTTTGCTTTGTTGACATACCTGGTTCTGGAGAGAATTTATGGTATAACGGATTGTATATCCTCTCATGCTTTCTTTCTCATTACTTGATGAGAGAGACACAAGGAATATACAAAGAGATACACATAAGGGGACGTATAACGGCTATAGTCAAGAATCTCTTCTACTTCAATGACAAAAACTACGACTATAAATATCATCACACTTAACATAAAGTTTTTAATGGTCAATCAAATAAGAGAGATTTACACAAGATTCGTTACTGTGATGATATCTCAAATCAATAACACAATGTTATATAGTTTATCTTTTTCACATAAAAGTGCGTTTTTTATTTGTAATACTGCTTCTCCCATCAAACACCCATGAGTTTAGCTTGCTTAATGTGCTTCTCTTCCCATGATCAAACTCGTGTCGGTTGGCGTCATCTACGACCAGAGTGGCCAACCCACTCGAGCCATCTCACACACAGATATTTCTGCAGACTCCGCACCTTTATATCATGTTCCTGCCCACGACACGTAAATTAGCAATAACGATGAACCAAAGCCAATGGACCCCAAAAGACATGCACTCGAGATATATATCAATACTTTTTAAGAAGAAAAAAAATGAGGGGAGGGAAAGAAAGAAGATACGGGAGCTACAAGGACCACACAAAATGTGAGAAAATGGAGGGGAAGAAATCTGCACAGAGAGCGAGAGAGAGAGAGAGAGAGGCAGTTGGTTGATCAAACGTCGTGTCAATCTTTAAAGTCCCTCCCTCTTTTATGGCGAGTTACAATGTTTCAGTGTAAAATCAAGGGGCCCTATATATGTGTAACATATAAATATTTTATTTGTCATTCAGTATTATGATCTGATGATATTTATTTTTACTCAGAAGTAAGAAATTATAAGTTTGAATTTCGTAGATAGAGAATTCGATATCAAATTAGATTACCTACTGTGTGACTTAACCAAACTTCATCTTTCCTTAATGTAAAAATATCTATGTATTAAAAAAAATATAATATATATATATAAATATTTATATCCTGCCATTGTTGATTATTTATTGAAGCTCTTTTGTCTGCTTGTGTAGTACCATCAAAGCAAGCAAGCAAGCCAATGGGAGAAGAAGACGAACCAAGCCACAAAAAATGTGTGGCTGCTTGAAGGTTAATCCAAGAGATCTTGTTAGATTTATTAGGAAGATAGATGGAGATCTCACAAGATACTAAAATGATCGCTTGTCTGACGGTAAGAAATGTTTGTGTTGAAAAATCGTCTACAGATAATTATGATAACATTCTATATCGTTAAAGTTTCATTAACAGTTTAAAAACGTAACAATAAATACGTGTTAGAGTCTTATAAAAATAAATATATTCAACTACAATACTTAATGATTGTAATTGAATGTTGAAAAGCATAAGGTGTAGATTGTTGTGACAAGGGAATGAATACTTTTCAACAACAATACTTAGCAGTTCTAACTTCTAATTGACTGTTTAAAAACATATGATGTTTGTTGGTTGCTACAGGAGAAAACTATTCAACTTAAACAATACTTAGCAGTTCTAACTGATGTAATATAGCAAGTCATAGTGTCACGATGAGACATTTAGGGTATTCAATATGAACAATACTTAACATGTATAGTTTGAAGCAAAATATAACGCGTGAAACTGTAATGATAAGAAAACTTTTTAACTACAATACTTAGCGGTTATAATTGATTGTCCAAAAAACATCATATTGTTGCGATAAGATAAAATATAACGCGTGAGACTGTAATGACAAGAAAACTATCAACTAAAATATTTAGCGGTTATAATTGACTGTTCAAAACACGTCATATAAGCAGTACTTGGTGGTCCTAATTAATATAAATGAGATAAATGAATGAGAGTGGAGTGCGGCAATTGTCCTGCTCTAGTGGGGATGAAAAATCACAATTGGAGAGGTGCGGATAGTGGCTGCCGAAAGCAACCAAGTCAGCTGCCGGCAGCTGTATCTCACTTAGACCATGGTGATGCGGCAGTGTGCTTTCTAGTCTTGCTGAAGCTTTCTGAGAGTAAGTTAAAACTGCCTAACAGTGGATAAGGGTCAAGATGAATACTAAAACTTGTTTAGGGTTCTGGATAAGCTGAAAGGCATTGTGCTAATATGACTCAAATTCTTATTCCTCTCTAACAAATACGAATACCAATACTTGTTTAGGGTTCTGGATAAGGATTAAGATACGTACAAAGCATAAATTAGACTAAGTTAATACCATAAAGTTGATGATCTTTCTAACTCTGATAATTGAGAAGTTCTTCGGTGCGATTATTGCAGTGCATCACATTCACAACTTGTGGGACCGGCTAAGACCAACATGCATGTAGTCCCACTCTCATGTGAGTATGATGCCATGCATTGTCAACAACTGCTACATCGAAGAATTTCTCCTCCTACTATTATCGAGTCAATCTATGTCATTTTTAATTGTATTTACCAAGGAGCCCTTAAGGAAAAGAAAAAATTGTATCGAGGTGACAGCCGTATACATCCAAAAGCGATTTTCATTTGACAAACTAAAAGGTTTTGTGGATAAAAAAGCCAATCACTATCAGGATGTGGAGATCACACGTTGTTAGTGCCAATGAATAGTAGATCTTAAATTATGTGAGATTAAAAGCAAAGGGGATTGGAGGACTGAAGGCTTTAGAATATGGTTTGCTTGTGTATTTTCTGGCCATGGATCAGAACTATTATTATGCTGGGACTGGAGTGCCAAGCTGGTCACATCAATACAACTCTGCTGCAGCTGCTGCTGCGATAAGCAATGAGTCTTCTTCCAGCTTTCTGGCTCCATGGCCTCCTCCTCCTCCTCCTCCTCCTCCTCCTCATGTATCGAGCTCTAATCAATTCCAGTTTTGTGGGTTGCCGCCTAGTTCGTGGTCTTCGACGGCGGCGGATGGTTTTGAAGAAGATAGAGCTGCATCTGCTTCAAGGAGCCACAGCCAGGCTGAGAAAAGGCGCAGAGATAGGATCAACGCACAGCTTGCTACTCTTAGGAAACTCATTCCCAAGTCCGACAAGGTATATACTATGCCATTTTTCTCTCCGTCTAAGCGGATTATGATTGACAGCCTAACAATATAATATAGAATATCTCGCATACGATGATAACACTAGGCCTAGTTCATTTCTCCTTTTTAGTGGTATGCCTAGGTGATCATGATCGAGTCTAACAACATAACATATCTCGTACGCTGATAACACTTTGCCTAGTTCATCCATCTCTTTTTCTTAGCATTTTGCCTCATTCATGATTTATAGTCTAAGAACATAATATAATATGTTTCCTGCGCATAGATTATAGTGTATCATTCATTCCCCCCTCTCTTTTTCTTAGAGCTCATTCATAATTTACAATCTAAAAATATCAACATACAACATGTCACACTGCGCCCAAATAACACTTTGCTTCATCATGATTGGCAGTATTGACAACATAACATTCCTTGTGCAAACATCCTGATTGACAGTTTAATAACGTAACATGCATGATCTTGCCAAACGAGAACGTTCCTGATACGGTTGAGTTTTGTTTGTGCAGATGGACAAGGCGGCTCTATTAGGAAGCGTGATCGATCATGTGAAGGATCTAAAGCGAAAAGCGATGGAAGTGAGCAAATCCTTCGTAGTTCCAACCGAAGTTGATGAAGTAACCATCGACTGTGATCCTGCTCATACTGTAAACTCCGCCACCAGTAGCACTAACAAAAGCCGGGGGAGTTTTCTCATAAGGGCATCCGTCTGCTGCGACGACCGGCCGGAACTCTTTTCGGAGCTCATTCAAGTCCTCAAAGGCCTAAAACTGACGGCTGTTCGTGCCGACATGGCGAGCGTGGGAGGAAGAATCAAAAGTGTTTTGGTGCTTTGTTCTAAGGACGGCGAAGAGGCTGTTTGCACGAGCACTCTTAAACAGTCACTCAAGTTGGTTTTGAGTAAACTCGCCGCGTCGTCCATGGCGCCAAACTGTCGGATTCGAAGCAAGAGGCAGAGGTTTTTCTTGCCATTCCATTGCCCAAATTAATAAGAAGATTTCGGACTTCTATGTGAATCAAGTGTTTTTACTTTTTAGTACTTAGCCCCTATTCTTTCTTTCATTTTATTTTACGTTCTTCTTTTGGGAAAAGACTTAAATGGCACAACTATACTTCCACGTTTAGCGTTTCGTATCAATAATTCAATGATATCTTTAAATTTTTTCCGTATAACGTTACATTATAAACACAAGACGCCACACTAATAGCGGAATTATGTCATATAAATTGCTTTCCTTTAGGAGACATGCTTCAATCATGCATAAGGCAATTAAGCATAAGGATGTGGCATCCTACCACAAGATGTGGTGGAGTTCATTGACAGCAACTATATGGTATACCCTTTCCTCATCTTATCATGATTGTTCGATTGAACAATGTATGATGTTTTGCCTACTTCTGTTCAGTTGCATGTGCTTGCTGGCTATCAGGCATCTTGTCATTGTGGTTACTAAGGAAATTGATGGCAAATAATTGTATTGTTAGTGCTTAAGAGAGTGTTTAGCATATGATAATCCCTATTTAATTATAGATTAAGGAGGCTATGGTTCTATTACACCTGGTGACAAAGCCCACCAATTATAAACTGGTTAGGGATGGTACAATTTTAGCAACAAGTTGGGGTTATTGGCCCATTAACTTTTGACTTTGGAGACTTGTATTTTACGTGACGAGAGAGATTCGAACTTCGAACTTTTATGTTTAGAAGAGAAATATTACTAGTTTAAGAGCCAGTTGGAAAAGCTTCAATACATCTATCTTGTGCATGTCGAAGAGAAAAGTTAGTACCTATACAGATTTGGAACAAATTCCAATCTAATGTAACCAATGCTACTATTAGTGGATGATTTGAACTTGTGACATTTTCAACGTTAAAAAGATACGAACTACTAAATCAAGTTAGTACAATCAATTGAATTGAATTGTGCATGTTTGCCCTTATTGTGAACTAACGATGTTGCTAATTGACCCTGAATGAATAAGAATTACAACTGTGAATTGAAAACACAAATTAAATTCCTACATCTCAAAACAAAACTTGAATATAATCCTCAAAATAAAATAAAAAACAATCAAACAAACAATTACGATCTAGATTGGATTGCCGTGTACCTAACCAAAGATTGGTCTGATGTGAAATGGTGCTTCGAAAGATTTAATGTTCCACATAAAAAAACTTGACGAAATTAAGTACAACATGCACTGAGTAGTTTCTATTGCTATTTACATCGATAACCTCTATTCAAGCTAACATGTGCACGTAGTTAAGTTTGAAAATTTTCAAATCAAGCCCCTTTCCTCATGGAGTCCTAAGCCAATTCCTACCACTCCATTAGAGGTTTAAACAAAGATTTATGAGTAATTAAACAAAGATTATGTTTAGCTACTCCACTTTGTTCACAAACTTTGAACTCTGATGCTACAGTGTAGTAGTTGAATGTGATTACGTCATATCAAGTGTTAGAAATTAACTTGGTCACCAAATTCTCCATTGCAACTCCAAAAACACGACTGTAAAAACATATGTAATCTACTTTTTAACTGTTTAACAGTTCGCCGTTACGGCCGGTGACGCTAATATCCCGCGCCCAGTTTCCCGCGCAATCTCCGTTGGGCAGTTCAGTTGCCTTGCAGTTTGCACTTCCGTTCCGTTCCGTTCCATTAAGAAACGGATAGCCGTTACACCTTACTTTTTCATCATCTCACAGTCCCCTCCTTCTACTATTTTATATTCGTTAAAAAAATTGAGCTAATTATTAATTTTCCTCGAAAATTTGCACAATTGCACTTGCATTTTTCACTTTTATGATATCTCATTGATTTTATTATATCTCGCTGATACAAAGTGAAGTTTACATTTCACACTTCTTTTCATATCGATCATTGATTTATCAAGTATTTCGACGAAAATATTGACGATTTCATAGATATCTTAAACACTGCATTTGACACATATGTCCACTTCCATCTACCTTTGGATCAAGTAATGGCAAGTGATAAGAACACAATTTTAGGGTCCAAACTTGACGAAGTTACTTTTTAAAGCAGAAATAAGAAGTTGTACTAATTCCATATAAGTGTATGCTATGTGGACAACTAATTCCATGTTTCTAATCACGATAACTGACAAGAATGCCTGTGAAAAATGATCTTTCATGGAGTTCGAGTACCAATTTACAATACAACATGAAGTTTGGGAATTAATTGAAACTAAAATTAATTCACGTGGTAATTGTATAAAACTAAAAAGCATATGCCATTCGTGCAATTTTCTCATCTTTCTTTTGATTAGAGTGCAAATTATTAATTAACCACCCAAGCATTGGAAGCGTTTAGAACGAAGAGGGGGGAAGTTATAACTTCCTACTCAAAAACAACAACAAAAACCCACTTCTTCTTAAACCCCTCTCTCTCTCTCCCCTCTCTCCACTCCTCTCTCTCTCTCTCTCTCTCTCTCTCTCTCTCTCTCTCTCTAAAATCTCACCTCGATTTTCTAGAGAGGTTTCCAAAACAAAAACAAAAATCAAATTAAAAAGAAACAAACAGAAAGAAAGAAACGCGTTTGGAGTTCATTTCCGTTATGTGAAATCATAGCGGTTTTACGGTTCATGCATGTCACCACCAACCCCCCATCCCCTCCATCAAACGGTTAAAACCCCACTCATCAAAACTCTCCTCTCTCTCTCTCTCTCTCTCCAATTTCATTCCAAGTTTCCATTCTCTCTCTTGTTTTCTGATTCTCTCTGTTCTTATGATCGCATGGCGATGATGGGAGCGATGAGCGGTGAGGATCGTGTGAAGGGGTCGTGGAGCCCGCAGGAGGACGCCACCCTGATCAAACTGGTGGCCCAGCACGGCCCCCGCAACTGGTCCCTCATCAGCACCGGCATTCCCGGCCGCTCCGGCAAGTCCTGCCGCCTCCGCTGGTGCAATCAGCTCAGCCCCACCGTCCAGCACAAGCCCTTTTCGCCTCAGGAGGACTCCGTTATTATCCAGGCTCACGCCCTCCACGGCAATAAGTGGGCCACCATCGCCCGCCTCCTCCCCGGCCGCACCGACAATGCCATCAAAAATCACTGGAACTCCACTCTGCGGCGGGGACGCCAACGCGCCGAGTTGTCTTCCACGTCGTCCGGTTCCGACTCGGCTGCCGCGGTCGGGGACGAGCCGGACATGAAGCGGCAGTGCCTGCGGGCGTCACCGGAGCATGAGAGTCTGAAAGCAAACGCGCGAGGGGAGGGAATGACAGTTGAGACGTCGCTGACGCTGTCGCCGCCAGGTGAGAAGGCGGAAAACGAGGTCGTATTGAAAAGTGAGGAGGAAGAACACGGTCACGAAGCGGTGGATAATAACGATGATGTGGAGATCTGTAGGGTGGAGACGGAGGAGACGTGTTTGCTGACGATCATGCAGCGGATGATAGCGCGGGAGGTCAGGAATTACATCGATAGCTTACGGGAGAATGGTGGGCCCACATTTGGGCTGCAGTCTGCAGCACATCAAAACGACCCCTGACGTGGATCATGTGAAGTTTTCATTTTCCAATCCTATCCTTTTTCTTTTGGGTTTCTTCTGTTGGGTTGTGAAATTTCAGTTTCAAAATCTTGCTTAATCTTAGTTTTAAGTGTAATGCTTTTACTTGTTGTCATTAGAAATGGTAACGCTCAAGAGATTAAAGTTGGAGATAAAATTTTAAAAATTAAATGACATGGAAGTTAATAATTGATTTATTACTTAAACATTTATAAATGTGCTTATTCCAAGGTGACACATCATTTAGTCTCTTTAACATTATCTCATTAGAAATTACAAGAGATTAATATAGAGTTAATTACACATGCACCGCCTGAGTTTTTTTGTATTTTTCACAAAACCTCCCTCAGATTTTCAACATATCACAAATACCCCATAACGTTTTAAAATTATTTCACAGAACCCCTTCCGTTAGGTTCCGCTAGTAAATTAACCTTGTTTATTCGAATTAGGTATATGATATTGCACTTGTAGCCGAACACCTCAATCACCAATCTCCTACATTGAATAGACAAAACCATTCGACCAGGTAAGAGGGGCTAAAAAAGAGAAAAAAAAGAGATTTGTAAGTAGTTGAGCCTTTTTCCTTCTTTTTCACGGTGAATTGACCCACTTTAGAGCGATTTTTGCTTTAAAATGGCTCTGTTTGGGCATCCTATCCCGTCATTTTCGTTTTTTTTTCCTTCATTAGGGGCTCTTTTAGGCTGGTGATGGAGTGAATTGAGGGACCGACGGATTGTTATGATAGCTGTGGTGAGTCAAATAGTAATATTCCTTCGTAATGTCATTAGATAGATTCAACTTGAGCTGTATATATAATTTACCCAATTAATACGCGAAAGGATGTGACGCACCCGAACGACCGAAAATGTGTGCTACAACATTTTCTTAACATTTTTTCTTCGTTCCCTTCCATTTAGGGAGTGCGGTGTATTCCACTACCCCAAGTTCAAACTCACATCCAACTAATTTAGTGTAGATAATATCATTGTTTGTAAAAATAACTGATTCACCACATCTAGGAAATGAGACGTAAACAGATACTACGAGAACAAGATCTGCATCCATACTGACACAGACTGAACGCAAAACACATCGGTTCCAAAATGTTTTGGACGAATGGTTAAACCAAGTTTGATACCAGATTTCCTGCTCAAAACTACACCACACCTAACACAGCGTTGCTCACTCTTGAAATGGAAACGCCCGCATTTTGGTTACGGAAACAGAGTTCCTGCTTAAGGGCAACAACAAAATCAATCAACTTATCCAAAATAATGAACATGTCCATCGACATTCCAAATTTTTTGCCATCGAGCTAGCATAATCAACAATGCTGACCAACTTACGATCAAGCATTTACCCAGTACAATGGAGGCAACCAGTTAATCAAAAGGTTCTCAGCTCCTTGACCCGACAGTGAAGCCTAAACAGATAATTTCCGATAACATACCGCTTATGTCAAACCCACGGACAAGCTCAACATTGCATAGCTAGTTCTAAAAGACGTTAGGTAATAGTTGGACGGCAGGTTGGGGCCTTAGCGCCTAGGCAACTAAGGTGGGTTCTAGGCAAGTGCTTAGGCGATCTAGGCGGATTTAATTAAATCTATTGTATTTTGTGTAAACAAGCATTTGTTTATACTTAAAAAACATATGATTTCATGCAAACTAACAAATGAAATGACATATACATTGTAAGCTATTAGAACATAATGAAAACATGTGGAACAAAGTTTGAAAAAATAAAATGCAAAAGGAAAGTTATCCATTTTCTGTCTAATTGAGTCGCAAACTAAGCCAGTGTCTAGGCGAGGAGTCGCCTCAGTAGGTCTAAACGCCATTTCCTAATTTTCAAACGCCTAGACATTAACCGGTGACCAACCGCCTAGCACCGACTTGGCGCTTGGCAGAAATTTTAAGAACAGTGAGTATAATCATACTAACCTCACAATACTCCAAATCACCTACGAAAATATAAGATTCCGAACATCCGCCATTGCCATCAAAATTGAAAATTGGAAAATCAGATATATTAAGACTCATAATAAGGTTCATAATCTGACTGAAATTGAAGCAAAACTGGTTCAAAACGGTAACCCAAAGAGTACAAAACGGCTACAAACTGACTAATCAGTAGTGATTACTTGATTAGAAAACAAAACACGGAGACGGAAGCGAGCGACGTCGATTGATGATCGGTGACAGCGAACGAGCAAACTACTTGGATCTCTGTCTCATCTTTCGGCGCTTCCTCTTCAACCTCCTCATGCGCTTCTTCTTCCACTGCAATCACCGCCGTAAAAAATACACAGAGAAAACGAATCAATCAACGGACACAAAGCGAGGATAAACAGAGAGCGTAGGTGATGGAGAGAGACTGAGATTTTACCTTGGCTCTCATGGCGGCGGTAAAACGATGTTCGCACCCAAACCCTGCTCTTGAAAGCTGCGGAGGACGAAAGGGGATGTAGCGGCGTGAGCGGGTTTGGATTTTAGAGCTCTGCGAGTATTTATACTGGACAGAGAAAACCCTAATGTGTAGTCGGCTTTCATATTTGGGTTGGGCCGGTTTATAAAATCATCATCGGGTCGGTTGGTTCAAAATGTTTTAAAAATCAAGAGGCCCAATATTTATATTCGGGTGAATGAGCAAGATTAGTCGACCTCACGTCGAAGGAAGGTCAAGAGGTATCATTTTCGGATGACGTGTGTATTAAGCAAGACAAGTGGATAATTTGTTCTGATACTATTATATATGAGTGGTTCTTTGTATATTCGAGTTTTGTCTCTAGACACTAGTTTTTTTAGACGCTCAATTTACTTTCACACATTTCTTTAGATAGCAAACCACCACAACTCGATCTGGGATAGCAAACTCGAACACCTTAAGTGGCTGGTCATGTGAGAAGAATAGGAAGGGCCAGGTGACAAAGACGATCAAGAAGATGATGACGGAGAACGGGTGGTAGAAGAGGTTGAGCAGGAGCACAGGAGGGCAAAGTTCATTCGTCACTCAGTTATCTGTTGTTTGTTTCAAAACCCTATGAATGTTCAAATAAAATAATTATTTTCCTTAAGAAATCAATCGTTTATGGTAATTTCAAATACAGATATATGATTTTTTTTTCTTTTAAATAAAATTATTGGACATCCAGAAACAAAACTTAGGTGTACCACTCTTTTACAACGAAATCCAACCACATTAATTATAAGTAAGTTTGACCTCTTTGTAGACGTCAGGTAATACTATTCATACCATGTTTTTGTACCATATTTTCATATCATCTTAGGTTATATTTGACATGGACATCCACTTCATTTAAATTAATCAGATTTTTAAATTTCGTTCATTATTTAATAAACTAATAATTAAGAAAAACTAGTTAATTAAATGATGATTGTGGTATATGATGAGTTTTTCCGCTTCATTTCCTTAGGTTTTGCAAATTTTTCAAATGATGTGACTGTCCACATCAGATGTCACCTAAGGTGATATAGAAATATAGCATAAAAATATGCTATGAATAACATTATTCTAGACGTCAACTTACATTCTTTGCTATTTATGTTCAACCAATCAGAAGGTGACATTGAAAATCTACGCAAACTTTATACTCGTAGAGAATTGAAAGCAATATAGTCCACAATATTCACATTTTCTTTTGCCAAAAATAAATTAAAAAAATAAAATTAAGTCGTGGGCACACATCCAACCGTTCGTATAGGTATTGAATGATTTGAATCCTTGATCGTTATCTGATTGTCGGGGCAAATATTCTTTTATTCCGCTACTTTTTTTACAACAGTTTACCAGATGGAGATAATAATTAATTTTCAAAAAAAAAAGAAAAAAAAAAAAGAAAAACTAAGTTTAAGCAGAATCAGGAAGCAGTAGAATGAGCATGGAGCTGAGCTCGACAGATTGGACAGCTCGAATGGGTCGAAAGCCACGTGTCCACGCACTCAGAGTGGTAACTATGGCGGCAGTTGGGCAGAACCTTCACCTTCTCGCCGTCTTCGAACACGCCCAGGCATATGCAGCACTCGCCACCGCTGCCGGCTTCCAAATCCCGGTTCGATTCCTGGTACAACACAATCGGCAAGGCGCGGATGAAGGCGGCGTCGAGGCCCTTGGGCCGAATCAGCGGAGGCGTGGGGGGCGCGTCGGAGGAGACGTCGTGGTGGTGGAAACGGCAGAGCCAGCGCGCGTAGAGCACGAACAGTGTGACGAGGAGGACGACGGTGAAGATTAGGACGGCGACGAACAGCGTCTTGCCTCGGACGCGGAACTGATCGTCATCAAGGACGGTGAAGTGGACGTTTAACGGCTGATTGTCTTGGGAGGTCATGGTGGCAATTGGGAAGGTCCGGCGGCGTAATTATTGGAAGATTGGAAGTGGGTTTTAGATTTTGGTGGGTTTAAGTGAGATTAGAATGTGATTAGCAAAAGAAGGATTAGAGTTGTATATAAAGTAGAGGTTGGTGAGGCGGCCATTGTTAGCTTAAAAGAGAGCTGAGTAGCAACTTAATAGTGTTACACAGTTCTTGAATGATTTTTTATTTTTTATTTTTTTATTTTTTATTGGGGAATAAGATATTATTTGTAGATAAAGGTATTAGGCTTATAGCATTAGAGGGTCCACAATTGACTTGTAAGCTTGGAATTTTGTTATCTTTATCCTCACTTCATTTTTATTTTTCTTATTTTTCTGGGCCTTCCGAATTTGCTTCTTAATGTTGTTTGAGCAGTCGTCTCAATACAAAAGAGGAAATTACAGCAGTAATTTCTTAATTTTAAATTAATTAGAGAAGTCTCTTAACTAAAAATTTATATTCATTGATCTTTTAACTTATTAAAACATGCAGTTGTACTCTTTTTTGTTAACTCTGTAAAAATTTCAGTTAAAATGAGTCACGTACTACACACATGAAGCTGAATCAAGGTGTCAATACAAAAAACCAAATGAGAAAAATTGTAACTATGCTCCATCAACTTTAACTCAATTGAAGAAATACAATCCATCAACTTAACCTCATTGGAGCAACGGTCTCTCACTTAATATTAATTCAGTTGTAGAAATGGTCTTTTCACACAAGGTGTAAATTTTTAGTACTTTAGTACTATAAATGATTATTTTTCATATTAATATGAATCTGGGGTACATCAATTTAGATTCGTAAGAATAAGAGTTTTTCTTTTAATTTTAGAAAGAATAAGATGAATAATGAAAACGTAAAATATTTTAAAGGGAGACCCAAGAAGAATGCTTTGTTTGCCTTGTATTTAGGCATTGGTTGTACTAATCCATCTGAACATAGAAAAAGGAAAACTATCGAATCAACGTAAAAGATCAGCTGGCTTTTCTCTGTCCTTTATCTTATCAAGTAAACTTCAACTTTAATTATCAAGTTTTCAAAAATTATTTACTACTCTAAGTCCAGAAGATTCACAAAAATTTGCAAATTATCACAGCTTTAATTTATTTTTTGAAATAATTGACAGCGCGGTTTCTGTTTAATAAAGTTCAACTTTAAAAAGAAAGGGGGGTTTTGTTCTTTGGAGTCACCCCTACTTTCGACGAGGGACTTTTAAAATCCCATAATCTACTCAAACAAACAACTAGTAGAATACTATATGTGCACTATAATTTTCGAGTACTTTCAACATGACTTAAAGCATGTTTAAACGAAAGATTATTGGGTTTCAAAAGCACTTGAAGTGTTTTTTACACGAAACACCAGTTATGTGCTTCTTGCATGAAATGCTTAAGTGATTTTCTAAAATTCACTTGCAGTTTAACTAAGAATTGGTTTAAAAAAAATACATTTTATAAAAAACGCTCTGTATTACAAACAATTCTATAAAGACAATAAACAAAGAATTTTTAAAATAGAAATATTTTATTTGAAAATTCCTTGCATCTAAAGTTATTTTCCAAATCTATCCATCTGTTTTTGTAGTACATGCTTAACAAATTTAAGCTAAATTTTATGAAACTTCAAAGTCCACATCCATACAAACTCAGATCACGACATATCATTATACAGTAAATCATCAGTTCTTCTCTTCTCTTTGGAGAAACTAATATTAACAGTAATTAATTGTTACACAAGCAACATGAATTGAAGACGAGGGGATAATGCATGGAAAAACATGTTACCCGAAACCAGTGCACGCATTGGACCCTTTTAGATTGCAAATAAAAAGCACAAATTTATAGCTTACCTTTTCACAATATTATAAATACAAAAGCAAAGTAATACATATCCGCAACGACGATTTAAATTATTTTTAACTTTTCAGAGATAAATGTACTTTTTGAACACCAAATTAGTAGGAGCCTTGTAAGAATCACACCAATGGGGTACTTCCCTATGCTAAAAATTATACAAATTTAATGTTAGTGGGTGCGAACTGTTTAAGGTAGAACCGATTTATAGCCATCCAGATAACGAAGGGCCAGCTTAATATTCGAAAGGACGTTTTAAGGAGGCCGTAGATTCCTTTCAGCCTTATATGTGATATACATGAGCCATATTAAACAATGTGATGATCCACTACTGCTCGAGCTTCAGAAAATAAATATCACTTAATGGAGTTCATCTCCTTTACTTATTGTTAAAACTTCAAGCCCAAAACTCACTCAGATAAAGAACAATGTCAAAAGTTGTAGTTCGGCCTACCTAGCCCTAATCTTATTCTTAAGGGAACTTTAATGAAAAGTTCTCGATATTGTTCACTTTAACGAAAAATCATATTTTTACACTAAAAAGTAAATTCTGGTATTATTCATTTTACCCTTTATTTTGTCGTTATTGTTAAAACTCTAACTTTTCAAACCATTTTCATTAATTTTCTTTATTCTTAAACGTATGAATACCAAGAGAGACCAGAAAATACCTACACATGTATATCCAACTTGGAGCAATTTTTCACTATGGCACTGTGGCCTATTAATTAAGTTTATGATGTATATATATATTAACTCAAGGACTCATATAATCATATTCCAACGCCAGAGGTGACGAGTATGAGTATTTTTTGTTTTTTCTTCTAACGCAAAGACTTTATTCTTAGATTTCGAGTCCCGGCATTGGAAATTAATTTCATAGGACAATATGGCTTATATGCACTAAAAGATCATTGAAAGTATTTTTTGTTTTTTTCTTCTAACGCGAAGACTTTTACTCTTAGATTTCGAGTCTCGGCATTGGAAATTAATTTCAGAGGACAATATGGCTTATATGCATTAAAAGATCATTGAAGTCAAAACTCAAGATCTTGTTATTTTTAATTTACTGTGTATCATTTTATTATGCTGACATAGGCTTTACCTTCTACTCAAATCTCATGCAGTAATATAAATTTGGGTCTCACGTGAACCTGAGACTTATATATAAGTTGGACTCATATTTTGACTCAAATCTGAAATATGGACTAAATGAACAATACTACGACAAAATAACAATAAAAACTATTTAGACATGTACACAACACACTCGCTAATAGAGGTATGCCCTATCATTGTATGTCGCATTGTGACGGTGTAACCCACCTATATTCACCACCTATATTATAAAGCGTATTAAATTTAACTAATGTGTCCAAATAGCATCACTCATAAATTAAATACCAATTCATGCCTGGATGGCCCAAATCTTCTTTTGGCAACCGCAAAGATCCCTTGGTGTAAGACGCATATCAGACTGGAATTAATCCCAGGACATGTCACAACCAGCTTAACCAAAATATAGGTAACTGAAGTATATTTTGCAGACATTTAACAATACCCTCTTTCAGCGGTTCATTTACTTTAAAACTAAAGATTATCATATACAATCTACAGATCATCAAGAGGCAAACTATATGTAGTGTATGTTATATGATCCGGAAAAGCTTAAGCCAGTATGAACCCAAAATGTGCTTGAAGTAGTTTGGCAAACTAGTGATCCAAAACTCACAATTCTCAATCATCCCTTCACTAAAACCTATCTCTTATCTTCTGGTGCTGCCGTCGATTATGAATGAACTTAACTTTACTAAGTTTCCAACATAAATCTTACACAAAAGTTCTTAATATACAAGTCTAACCATATTATTAATTAGAGAAGAGAATAGTACCCAAGATCGATTGCATATGATATGTGTGTGTTTTGTATTTATCAAGGGATCAATTATGAAGCAGAACTCCTAATTCTTCTTTTATTTTTTATTTTTTATTTTTTTTGGTATTGCCCCAAAAAGAGGAAGATTACAGTGGGATAGCCCTAATTTATTTAGGGCATCACCAGCCAAAAGCCCTACCATAGATAGAGGAAGAGACACAAGATAGATGATTACAGTGAGACAGAAGATAACTAATACATGAGACCTTACCAAGGACAACATTAATTCCACGCTGCTCCCCTTGCTCCAACATGTTGAACACTAGGATAATTTCAATTTTCGGTAATGCAAATACACACATAAAATAATTACCCAATATACCAAATTTTCCTTTCAGATCAAGAAATATTATAACTAATTATATTAATTATTGATATGTATATATATGCTTTAGGTAACTAGGGAAATTAAGGATACAATATTTCTCAGTTCAGGAATAAAGAAACGAAGAGAGAGTAATAACATTTCTTCTTTTATCCCAAAACTACATCATAATGAATAAAATTGCCTATACTATAATCTGATTACAAAAATAAAAATCAAGTCCAAATTTTCATGAAAATTCCCATCCCAAAACTCCACTAAGCTTTGAGATCTTTATGATAAACTGATACATAAGCAACCTTACCTCAGATCGATCTTTATGCAACATAACAAGCTATCGTCATTAATCCAATTGCCAACCCCTTGTGTTCATCAGAGCTTCTATCGATCGATCATATTGTAACGTCGTAAGCCTCAATTCGATACTAAATGCCCTCTTTCACATCGTAATCAATCTTCGGGTATTTTTGGTTACCACAGTTGGAAAACAAAAAATATTCTCCATAGAGACCAAAATTACTTCAAATTAATCTTGCATGCAAGCCTAGCCTATAGATTAAGCTTGAATTTTGAAAGGAATTGAATATATCTGTATCTCTCTCTCTTGTTCTTCTTCGAAATAGAGTGACATGCAGAACTATATAAACTTACCTATATATATATATATATATATATATAGTCAAGATCTCGAATTCTTCATGAATCCAATCCTTTAAAATCCAAGAAGAAAGGATCGCCGTAGTCCCAAAGGCCCGGCACACACTCTTCCTCGCTCGTCAGTGGCCACATCAACGGCGACATGGGTCCCACCGCCCCCATCGGAATATCCGAACAGCCCGGTGCAACCTCCATAGGCGTAGACAACCCCGATCC